CGAACCGAACCGAACCGAAACCGAATGGTTCCAAAATTATATTTGGAACCGACGGTTCCATTTACTAAATACCCGAAAATTTCTGGAACCGAAAAAAATCGAACCGAACCGAATCGACCCGCGCCTACCCCTATATATGGCTTTTTATAATAACCAATCTATTGGTTTCTCAATTTTCTCAATTGATATTAATAGATTCTTTAAAACTTTCTAAAGAGCAATAAGTAAAGTATAATAGTCTAATTGCATAAAATATATGAAATTAAAAACAATATGGTTGTAATGGCCATAGAGTACTTCACCATTCAAATATATATATTTTTTAATTCTCTCTTAGCTTTTTTCTTGACCTTCTAAAAAGGTTTAAGATTGTAACCAAAAAGAATTTTCATCAAGTTTAAAAGGCTTGATCAAACCCATTTAATAAGAAAAATAATCGATTTAACTCAGAGGATTACTTTATCTTTTTGGTCATGTAATCCAGAATAAAGATGCTAATAGCGTTAGGATTATATATGAAAATAAAATATAGTTTTTTGAATAAATTGATTGTTTACTTGATGTTTTCTCTTTTAGGCCTTACCCGAAAAATAAATAAAGTAAACAGAAATTATAAACAAGAAAAAGTATGAAAAAGACTTACTTTATTTCTGAAGTCTTTGAATATACAAGGATTGAATTTAATTTACAGCGTTGTCTTTGAATTTTTTCGTTGTGATAATAGCTTAGAATTTGAGAGAAATCGATAATTTCTTGTACTACTGACTCCTTTATAGCACTTCGATCAATTCTTGCACAATCGCCAATTTTCTATTCGAATTCATATAAAGTCTTTTCGTGCCCTGCAGCTGTAGAGTCTGTTAATTTAATAAGTCTTTCCATTTTATCATAATAATTTCTATTTGTAGATGCAATATCTTTAGAGATAGGTCTTGCAATAACATCTTTAGAACTTAATATTTTTAAACTATCATGTAACTGGAGAATCTCATGTTGATATTTACTAGTAGTCTATCGAGATGAAGAGATTTCGTCTTCAAGGATTTGTAATATTTCTTCTAATGACTGCTTTTAAGATTTAAATTTCTAACAACCTTGGTCATAGTTTCACAACTATTACAAAGTTGTATTGAAGATGAAAATAACGCTTCAAAAGTAATAAGTTGCTTGGTCTGTCTAATCCTTTAAGATATATAAAAGTTAAATCATTTCATTTCTCTACGGAAATTTAATTCTTCTTCTAATGTATAAAATCTTTTGAAAAATGAATCTGGAAATCTTTTTTCTTGTTGCAATACCTTTGGCCAATAATTATATATACCGGGCTTTCTACCTTTAATTATTGCAAAGAAACTAAAATTTCTGCTTTCTACTTGATTGTAAATCTGTCTAAAATGATTAGTTAAAGCCTTAATGCTGTCTAATTGTTTAGAATCACGTGCTATCCAGAGATTATCTAATAGACAACGCTCCCTTTCTAGTAATCTTTCTAAATTATTTCCTCTGAATCGAAGATTAGATCCTTGTGGGGCCACTCTTAGAGTAACATTTTTAAAGTTCATCATCCTCTGATCCATCTACACCATAAAAATAATAGGTTAGAAAATTAAAAACTTGTCTATTTAAATTATTAGCCAAAATATTTTTTTCCGTGTTCTATATTAATTTTAAAACTATTTAATATCTCATATAATTT